GAGGTTGGGTGGGGTACGTGTTGCGTTGACAAGGGACAGGGGGTGGGAACAGAGACAGCCGCATGAATACCAGGAGAAGGAGACAGCAATCTTTGCAGACTAAACCAGTAATTCATTTCAGATGTCGCAAGTTGCGTGCTGGCTGGCAGCGCTCCAGATTGTCATGTCAGTCTGGATTCTGCGGACACCCTGCCGCCTGCTGCCTCACCGCGTTGTCAAAGGGCAGCGGCTGGCCCGCCTCCATGAGCGGGATGTCCCCCAGCCTCACACTCAGATCGTTCTGGTCAAACTGGACACCTGCAGGGGGGGGGCCGGGCAGGCGGTGAGGTGTGTGCAGGTGGTCGTAGGACAAGGTGACCAAAAAGCATACGCTGTTGCATGGAGAGAGGAGATCAGGTCTCTCCAACAGCATGCCCCTGTATGGTGAGGAGCAGCTGCCCAGCTGAGGCGCTGTCCGCCTCCTGCCCCCCCCCCCCTCCCGCCCCCAAAGACAAGGGATGCTGTCCCTCCCTCGAGCCCCATCCTGTACACTGGTGATGAGACCGCAGCACCCAGGGTCAAGCTGTGAGGGCATGTGGGTCAACCCCTCACCTGAGTATCCCGCGGCCGCTGCGATGCGGCCCCAGTTGGGGTCCCCCCCGAAGATGGCGGCCTTGGCCAGGCTGGAGCCCGCGACGCTCTTGGCCACCACGCGCGCATCCGCATCACTGGCCGCGCCCGATACCTGCGCGGGCACGCAGCGTGCACAGATTAGCAATGGTGACGCGTGTGGCGAGTCGCGTCAGGCCTCCAGGTCTTGCTCAAGGTGCAAACCCCCAGTGTAAATGCAGGCAATGAGGGAATTAGACGGGGCCAGGCCAGCGGCTCACGCCTGTCCCTCCTTCAGGCCCCGCTGCACCGCCAGGCGCCTCAGGTCATTCCCCCCCCTTCCCCCCTTGAACCCAAGCCCCAGTGCGCACCGCAATCTCCATGAGGCAGGTGGCGCCCTCCCCATCCCACGCGATGGCCTTGGCCAGCCCCTGGGTTCAGGGGAGCGGCAGGGCGCAGTGTGATTACCAGGGGTCAGCGCGCGTTGCGGGAAGCAGGCTGCCGCTGTCACGGCGCTGCGCCGCCTCGTCGCAAGTGATGCAGCACTCACCACACCGCAACTGCGCAGTGGCAGCAACATTTGCCGCCGCTGCGGCAGCCCCAAGCGCACCTGCAGCAGTGCTGTGACGGCCGCCTCCAGGGCCTGGCCGTCAGGGCTGGCCGCGTCTGAGATCCTGGGCGCCCCCGCGGCCCCGCTGGCCAGGCCGATGACAGTGTCGTTGGTGCTGGTGTCACCGTCGACCGTGATCTAGGGGTTGCAGGTGGTCATGATAATTGGGTCATTGTGACCTTCAAGTGCGGAAAGGTGATGATCAGACTTCGCACCATGAATGGTGCCCTGCCTTCTGCACATATCACAGGTGTGGCTGGCGGCGGCCGACCTGCTGCTGCAGAAGATGCACCACACCAACGCCAATCCGCATTGAATGTTATACACGGCGCCATACGGCATTTCAGGCCTGGCTTCAACCATCGTTGTCCATGCGTTGTTGGCCCTCCATCCATCGTTGCCCAGGGCACCTTCTCCAAACAAAACCAAACGAGCTGCACCGCTGGCCTCTGTGACGGCCACCCCAAACACACAGCCACGCTTCACGCCGCCACCCTACCGCGTTGAAGGAGGCGTCCGTGGCGCGCCTCAGCATGCCGCGCCAGACCTCCGTGTCCACGGCCGCGTCCGTGGTGACCACCCCCAGCATGGTGGCCATGTTGGGGTGGATCATGCCGCTGCCCTTGCACATGCCGCCCACGCTGACGGGGACGCCCCCAATGGTCACGCGCAGGGCCGCCTCCTTTGACACCAGGTCTGGGGGGGGGGGGGGTCAGGACGTGCGTGAGCACGCGGGTGCATGTGTGCATGTGTGCGTGAGCGTGCGTTCATGGCCATGCAAGAAGGAGTTGAAAAACACATAATCGTGGGGGAACAGGCACAGTGAAGGGCGCAGAGGCTCTGCAAGTAGGGCGTGTGGAGGAACGGCAGGGGGAGGGGGATGCAAGAAGCGCCGGCTTCCCTCAACCGTTGCACAAGCGGATACCTCGCCCATGCCCCATGCGTCATGTCCCTGGGCCCTGCCCCGAGGTGCACCGGTGGTTGTGATGGCGACAGCGGAGCGGTGTGCGTCATCTGCGCTGGCGCCCAGGGTGGGCAGCAGCTCAGGGATGGCTGGGATGAAGTTGTCCATCTTCAAGCGGCGGCCGATGACACCTGGTGACGTCACATGGTTTGTCAGGCGGGCGGTCGGCGGCTTGTTGAGAGTTTTCGGCAAGGCCGTACCAACATTCAGGTGGACATCCATTGGAGCTCAGAGTGCCTGTAGACGGGATTCCCGTGGATCCTGCGTGTGAGGGAATGATCCCTTGCAGCACAGCCTCAGGCCTCCTGTGCACCCCCCCCCCCCTTTTGGACCCCTCCTCCTTCCTCACCCTGCCCTCATACAACCTCACAGGTCCCTATGAACCACACAAGCACACACACACACACACACACACACGCACACACACGCACACACACATCTGCCCCTGAGGCTCCTCACCCGTGGACATGATGAGGACGTCATCAGGTGTCACCCCCAGGGCACTGGCCAGCGTCGACGCGCACTGCACTGCGTCCGCGTAGCCCTGAGCCCCGGTCGCCGCGTTGGCCTGCCCCGCGTTGGTCAGCACCTGCATGAACGGCGCGAAGAGGACGTGCATGCGTGAACATGTGTGTGCAAGAGTTGAACATTTTGTCATAGAGGAGGCAGGGGTTGAGCAGAAGCATTGGCAGCAGGCTGCACAGCGCCTCTGCTTAATCCCTCCTCTGTGACAAACCTTCAAACTATCGTGAGCGGTGCCGTTTTCCAGTCCACCATCAAAGTTCCCTCCGTGCCGCCAGCTGCCTGCAGTGCACTTCCCCCCACCCTGCCCCCCGCACCGCCTTGACGCTGTCCCTCTTGGCCAGCACGTCCTTGCAGTAGGTCACGGGGGCAGCGCACATCACGTTGAGCGTGAACACGCCCGCCGCAGTGGCGGGCTCGTCC